GAAAAGGTAGCCAATATGCCACATTGCCATGAGTGGCCTTGGACCAGAGGGCAGATGTGCATTTCAAAGAAGACTAGCCATTTTCCGATATCACATACTGTCGTGGGATTGATAATGAAGCAAAGGACTAGCAGTTTTTAATCTTCCTACACGAAATCGGGTAACTAAATCTTCCATATTTGATCTTCTGGCAATCTCTAAAACCTATTTATAAACATAAAATATTAGTTTGCTTCATCGAAAATTCCATTGTAAATGTGGTATGGCCTCAGAAGTACTACTCACTACTACTACTACTCACTCGTGACCTGGTCTATAATACTGCTACATAATTAATGGTGCTTGATTGGTATCAACATGCGCTCGACTAGGCTTGAAAGGATATGGTGAAACCAGCCATTTCTTTTATTCTTCGAGATAGCCCAGTCTCAAATATTGATGCTTTTGTAGGTTTTCCCTGAATGCCTTTTGATGGTGAATAGGGTCATCTTGAATTGGAGGTTAAGACTAAAGCTACAGGCGACTACGGTTCGTTGAGGCTCGAAGAAAAAGGGAAAAACTGACCTGTTGGCGAGCTTTTTCTGACTTTGTACGGGCAGCACGTTCTGCCTCAAGGTCTTCTTCGAGTTCCTGAATGCGAGTTTGCAATTCTTTGATCTTGCGTTGCAATTGGGCAACAATGCTCTGCTCATCCTCGAACTTGCTGTTCAGTCCGTTAATCTCACCCTCCTTCCGTTTCAATTGCTCTTCAAGCTCGTGTTTCACACGTTCCAAGTCGTCAACCGTCTCTTGTGTGGCCTTCAGGTCACCTTCCAACTTTCGCCGAGCTTTGTCAACGTCACCGCGGAGTTTTTGCTCACGAGCAATGGTCTCCTCCATCTGAAAATGTGTCATAACGAAGATGTGTACGAGTCTCGGTCCAGGCATGTAAAAATGCAAATAAAAATAGTTTTATAGAGGTTGTTTGACCTTGTTTTCGCAACATGGTCATATTGGTAGGAAGACTTATCGGAATGCACCTAGTCCGGGGTCCAGTGTCCGCATGATCATTTCCAAAGTTGAACCGTGGACGTGGTACATTTCCAAACGTTTCGCCCGCATCGTAGTCAGCATCGTTTGGGAATGTACCACGTCGACGGTTCAACTTTGTAAATGATCCTGCAGATAATAGACCCCGGACTAGGTGCGTTCCAATAAGTCTTCCTACCAATATGACCATGTTGGGAAAACAAGGTCAAACAACTTTTTTACACTGAAAGGAGACTGCGACCACACAAAAGGCCACATCATCTTGGTCTTCATACCTTCGATAAAAATAGTTTTATTTGAAGGAATCTCTCAGCTTACAGGCATTTAGCTCATTTCAAGTTGCAGTGAAAAATCATCCACACGGAGGGTACCATTCATTCCGGCAAATGAGGCAAGAAAACTCACCGGTTTGTACTTTATGAGGAATAGATGGATTTGATTCTTTCTTGTCGCATAACAATTAGGAAATTTGTGTGTGTGTGTGTATATGGATATGTTTATGCACACTTATGAATACTTAAGGGCGGGAACCAGCAGTGATATTTCCTAAAATTGATGTAGGGGGTTCTGAACTCATGTTTTTAAGTCTATCTTTAAGGCTAAAACGACACGAATTGGGGGCAGAGCCATACCTCATCGAGAGTGGATTCTAGTTTCTGCTTCAGCTTCGTCAAATGGTTCACTTTGTCCTCTTCGGCCTGCAAGGCCTCTTGGGTTCGCTTGTTTTGTTCCTCCAGAGCCTTTTTCTCTTTGCCCATTTTGCCCAGTGCTTCGTCTTTGTCCGCCAGTTCGCCTTGAAGCATCTTGATCTGGTTGTCCTTCACCTGTTTCTCTTGTTCCGCCTTTTGTAGCGAGGATTCAAGGTCTTCCACGTCTTTCTTCAACTCTTCAATCTCACTGGCCAGCTTCTTTTTCGACTCTTCTGCCTGACCCGCAGACGCCTCTTCGTCGGCAAGGCGTTCCTCGAACTCTTTTATTCGTTGCTCCATGTCGGCCTTTTGTAGAATCAATTTGGCTATCTTCTCTTCAGCGTCCGACAAGTTGTCCTGTTCCGCCTGCAGTTGTAGGAAGAGATCGTTTTTCTGCTGCAAAATTGTCACATTCTGCTCCTCCAACTCCTTCTTCAGCTTCTCCACCTTCTCGAAATCCTCTTTCATTTTGGTCAGCTCTTCAAACGCCTTCTTCATCTCTTCCTCTTGACGAGCTACATTCAGCATCGGTTTCACTTTGGTGAAGAGTCGCCACCAAGGCCAGTTTCGCATGCCAAGGTACTTGCGGATGTTGCGTTGGATCAACGTGAGTGCGACCCTGTTAATGGGGAGGGAAGAGGGAAGAGACGTGAATATGGGCATGATTGAACAACTATTCTACATGATATCAACAACTTCATCAAAAGGCGTGGTTTAGACAACTTGCCCAGTTTTCTTGCCAGGATTGCTATGGTTCATCCGGTCATAGCTACACTGAGCCCTATTCAGACGGCCCCTTTCACAGACATATTATCGCCTCTTACGAGATTGTTAGACGCTTCAGAATATCTTCTTCGCTTAGCCTTAATTTTACAAGAAGGAATTTCAAGTCCTACGGACAGCCCATTTTGCCTGAAACGAGGAAAGATATCTCGTGAAATGTGTTACCTTTTGATGCTGCACAACTCTTTATCATACATACTTTCATGTGAAATGAATGTGTACACGTACAAAAATCAGAAATTCGCAGGACATGTGTTCCGACTAATTGAAGTGTATATGAATTTATATTCGTAAGTAAGTAGGGTTTCGAGACTACCAGTAAATCAGTGTAATAAGATGTATTCACCGTATTTCGTGTATGGTGATGAAGGACTGGTAGTAGAATTTTCCCACAATGATATGAG